CGGAGCGAGTTCGGATTTAAGTCCAAATAAAAAATTTGACACCCGAAACACCTCCCTACGCCGTTTTTGTTGTTCTATATCTATAGTCAATGGTTGGTAGACATTCAATTCTTCCCACATGCCCTTCAGTTCTGAGTAATAATCTTCAACAGAACGATCTCCTGGAGATTAAAAATATCATGATACAACCGATAAATATACTTTTCTGAAGAATACATGTCCCTAAGATTTTCCCAGATATCTTTGGAAGATTCTAGGAATGACACGTTGTTGAAGATCTCAGGCTCCAAGCAGTTCCATTACCAAGTCATAATCTGAGTATATTCTTTCTCCCAAGCCTCAATAATCTTTTCATCACTGGAGGGTTAATTTAAGATAGGACAGTTTCCCTCGAGCCTGTAAGAATACCTTTACGGCTCAAGACCATTGAAGGTAGCTCAAGCCTTTCAATTTGGTGCTTGTGATTGACCCAAGACGATGGGATGCCTTAGTATCCATCACAAGAGCTGCTAAACAAAGGAGATATAGTAGCGAGCAGCAGCCGAGATAAGAGAACCAAGATCTAGCCGATATGAACCCGAGAGAAATTATCGAGGAGAGAGCCGAGAAGGGATCCAAGAGAGATTGCCGAGACGAGAACTAAGATCACTAAGGAGAGATCACCGAGAAGAGATTGCCGAGAGAAAGGCGAGATGGAATCAAGAATGGAGAGTCTGAATAAGACCTAAAAAAAATTTAAAGAGGGATCGATTTTCGCTTTGATACCATGTTGAAAGAGAGAGAATATACGAAAACGTTTATGTTATTGAGTGAGTAATACAATAATACAATGGTGTTTATATAGGAGAAGCTACGGGAATAGGTGAGTGGAGAAGAAGTAAACCCCATACATGGTAATTCTATACATGGTAATGAGGGGTGTGACAACTCATACAATACTATACAACACGTGTGACAACTCATACAATAATAACTGTACACGTGTGACAACTCATACAATACTGTACAACGTGACAACTCATACAATACTGTACAACGTGACAACTCACATAATACTGTATAACACAAGAATTAAAACATTCTTTAGAATTCTTTCTCATTTCAAAATACCAACACCTAAATTTAAGTATTTTAGTAGGTTGACTCAGTTATAACTGGATTGACTTTAGGTTTGCATTTTCTGAATTGGACTGTGATTGGGTGTAACTATTTTTTACATCCAACCAACCCCGACCTGTCAGAAAATTGTGTGGGACATTCATCATAGTTATCCTCAAGATTCATTCCGGCAATGAATAAAGGCCAAAATTGTTTTGAGAACTCTAAATATATTTTCTCTTTTCTGTAAGCTAAATATCTTAACCATAGTACCTAAACCATCTCTTTGAAAAAGCAAACAAAATGGAGAATGTCTTGATTCTGTCTTCGATGAAAGCCTATTACCTTTGGTTAGCACATAAAACATAATTTAGATAAAAGGAAATCTTTAAGGCATAAGGCACATGTCTCAAGTCAGCCTCGTCCCTTAAGGTATAAGCCCTTAATGACTCAGCATCAAATATTATGACTTGATGTGTATGTGTTTTTCTTGAGCCTTGCCCTCAAGGTGAAGGGGGGAAGAAAAAAGTCTGAAAACTTCAAACCACATGCACATTTGAATAATTACGATCATATAAATTTGGTAGTTTTCAACAAGATACTACTTTTAGTCATCGGTTGACACGTACCATATTGCCTATTAGTAGTCCTTTGGTACATTAATTACTGCTACTCAAAGAATCTTATTCAAATATTAATTTCACATTTAACTATTTTGTTGCCTTATTCTTATTACCTTGAGTGCCCACTCATCTACACCGTTCCATGGGTTGTTCTCAAGGCGATTATCTGCAATGTACTGGATAGACAAAAATAGAAGTTAATAAAAAAAATTAAAAAATAATAATTGTTGAAAGAAAAATAAAAGTTGAAGAGAGAAATTAAAACATGAAGAACACAAGGATATATGTGGTTCAGCCACTAGAGCTTACATCCACGACACAAAGCCCGACGGGCTACATCTCTTTCATTACATTCCCTCTTAATTTTGTTTACAATAACCACCTCTATAGGTGAATTGGGGAAGACTTGTAATAAAGGAATTACACATAAAGTCAAATATAAATATGACAACAACTTGTTACCCAAGTATAGCAACATTAACATTCTGTTAAGGAGTGATTTAAGGGCTTAAATCACTCCTATAATTATTCTCCAACAATAATAATAAAATAAAATTTTAAAAACCAGGATAGAGGTATGCTATGATAATAATAAAAATTTAAACACTGAAAAATTTTCCAAGACAAAATGAGAGAATCAAGTTGCTACAGTTACACCTACACTATGAAGTGTTACTCCAGGAAGGCCATTTAGAGAGGGAAATGCTTCCCTATCAAGTGAGAAGACCTTGCTGATTGCCTGTAAATAGATTTTTTATATTAAGCATGGGGACAACATAGGTAAATTAGTGGAACAATATCGAACTCTCAAACATTTTGTACCTCTGTAGCATTCTTAACTTTCTTTTGGGACATGTTGAGGCATTCTGCAATTTTCTGAAACACAAAAGTATTAATAGAAATCAATAACAAATTAAGAAACTACTTCATGGTACAGAAGAAAATTATAAATCAAGCATCTTGACTTAATTTTGATCTACCACATAAATAAAAATCAAGCATCTTGATTAAGCATTACAAGTTTATAATTATTTGGATTAAGCATGTTATCTTACATTTCCGTAAGTGAACGTGACATGCAGAGCATGAAATTGATCTCATTAAATCACATTACAATCAACCAGACTTACATCAATTGATGGAGATATTCCTTTCTCTTCTAGTCTGCTCTTTGCATTCCGGATTAAACTTAATCTTTCATGCATATGGGTAGGCAATCTTAAGGTTCTCGAATTCTCAACTAATGCTCTTGAAACACCCTGTCATGATAGACAAATACAACAGTAATAAGTTTCACATGTTAATACAAGCAAGAGATGTCCAACACATTCATTCTCTATTTAGAATGGTAAGGGGCCTAGAACTGCTGCGTTAAATCCCAAAGACATCCAAAAACAGGAAGCAGAAATTTTCCTTTTTCTCTAAAGTTGATGCAATTCAGGCTGCTTTATACACTTTCAACAACTTAAAAGCACAAGAATAAATGGAGAAGAAATATGAAGTACGGTATGAAATAAAACAAATATAAGAATGATTTTTAGGTAAATGAATTAGATTTGCTATATATCGTTCTCTCTCTGTCTCAATCACTCATTCTCCTCTTATCTCTCCATTTCTATTTCTCCATCAGAGACTTAGAGGACTGGAGAAGCACCACTCTCTCTGTGCTGAATAACTATTACCACCTAAATCTGGTATTCTTCGAGCACCAAACCTAAATTCCTTTGAGGAACTCTCTCTCTCTCTCTCTCTCTCTCTCTCTCTGTGTGCTTATATCCCAGCAAGGAATTATCTTCCTCCTTATTTTGAAGAATCCGAGCCTATATGATATCATTACTTTGGGTATTGGAGCCTATTTTTTTGCACTTACTATAAACGCCTATTTAACGTATTTTCCCATTTCACTAAAAGTATTCATCTTTGTCTTTAATCATCACTTCTAACATACACTATGAGATCAAAGACTTTGTGAAGACAACATGGATTTCTGGAGACAATCATCAACACTGTGGGTTCTTGTGAATTATTAGGAAAGAATAGATAATACAAGTAGGAAAACAATAAGGTATGGTAGAGACTGAAGCTGACTAAAAAGTCCATTGGATTAGAGCCTAAAATTAGATGAGGTGTTCTCTTGAAGCCCCAATTAAGTGTAGGATGAAGGTTTATCTATAGTCAAAGATAGGCAAGGCTGTGCTTATGCCAACTCGGCAGTCTGGTCTGGTCATTTATGCTCGTCTCTATTTCCAAAATAGTAGGACGTTTCCACTTGCATTGTGCTTGTCAAGTTAGGGAAAAATAAGGGGAGCATTTTGGCTATATGATTAGGAAATATCGATCCCAAAGGTGGCTGAAGAAACAAGCTTCCCTATTAAACCTTCACCGTGGTGCAGCGGATTTCTCCCATGTGTTAGAGGGCAGTCCCTATGACGATGGCTTTGTATGTCTGACGTGCCTCATCTATATAGTTGCCATATTATCAAGGCATATATCACCTACGAGTCAAGTATTGTCTCTTTCTCTTAGATTTAGGTTACAAACCTCAAAAGAAGGTGTGCTGTTGTGGCCCGAATATTGTTTCGGCGACCCGGTTTCGACCCGATGAATGGGATTTGTGTGGGCCCAAGCTAGGGTTTGGGGCTGAAACTTGAGAAGTAAAGCAGATGGACAGTGCAAAGCAGTTTTCCAAGATTCAATTATCAGAGATGAGAAAGAGAAGGGGTCAGGAGGTGAGGTGGAACCTAGAGCAAAGTCTTAAAATAATTTTTAAATGCATTCCTCTCTCTCTCTATATATATATATATATATTCTTAATTGAGAAGTAATTAAGTAACCTATTAGAGGAAACAATTTTAAGAACAACTCATCATCATCATCATTGCCTTAATCCCATATGAATGGGGTTGGCCACATGAATTCTCTATCTCCAATCCTTTCTATTACATGCCATTTCACTTACTATATTTAACCTTTTAAAGTCATTTTTAGTGATCTCATTCCGTGTTATTTTTTATGTCCCTCTCCATCTCTAACCTCCTATGACAATCAGTCTTCCTCTTTTGATTGGCGCATCTCTAGGTCTCCGATGTATATGTCCAAACCATCTAAGTCACTCTCTCTAATTTTCTCACTAATAGGTGCCACATCTAATTTTCGTCTTGTTCTTTCATTAGTGACCCTATCTCTTCTAGTCACTCTAGTAATCCACCTTAGCATTCTCATTTTCGCTACATGAAGGCGTTATTCTCGTTTCTCTTAGGGCCCAAAACTCCAACTAGGAAAAAAAAAAATACTCTCCATATAACATAGTTGGCTAATAAGGGTCCTATACAATTTTCCTTTTAGCCTATGTGTTATCCTTTTATCACCTAAGATGCCACTAGCTTGTCTCCATTTTGTCCACCCCGCTCCAATTCTACTGGTTATATCACCATCTATTTCTCTATCCTTTTGTATCATTGATCCTAAACATCAAAAGTGGTTATTTTGTGTAATCGTTTGGTTTTAAAGTGTCATCAATATAAGAGTCCTCTTTAGATTTACAATCCGTGTACTTGGTTTTCGTTCAACTAATTCCCAACCCTTTCGATTCTAATGCATTTCGCCACAATGCTAGTTTTATTGCTAAGTTCTCCTTAAAGATATCTAATAGCACGATATCATCGGCAAACATCATGCACCATGGAATCTCTTTTTGGAAGTCTTTTGTTATTTCATCTAAGATTATTGCAAATAGATATGGACTTAGCACCGAGCCTTAGCGCAATCCTACATTTATGGAGAACTCACTAGTTTGCCTACACGTGGTACGAACTTTAGTTTGTGTTTATAAACATATCTTGGATACTTTTTATGATTTGTAAGGGAAATTGTTCTCTTTGTAGAGCCCACCAAATTATATCTCTTGGGACCCTATCGTATGCCTTTTCTAAGTCTATAGAAAATTATACCTATTGTTGCTTACTCCTACCTTCATCAACTAATTCTCTAAGTAAGTATATAGCTTCGATGGTTGGTCTTCCCAGCATGAATCCAAATTGATTACCGGATACCGTGGATTCCTTCCTTAGTCATTATTCTATTATTCTTTCCCATATTTTCAACGTATGATTCATTAATTTATTTCCTCTATAGTTGCCACAATTTTATGTCCCTTTTATTTTTGTAAATTGGAATAATTGTACTTTCCCTCTGCTCATTTGGCATTATGCCTTTTTTTTTTTTTTTTCTCGTTGGTACTCACACACACTTGTCTCTTTTGAGACTTGAACTCCTAACCTCCCTTTGGGAAGTAAGAGGCTGATACAGCTAGGCCACTGCCCGTTGGTGCATTATGCCTTGTTTTAGGATGTTGTTAAACAACCGTGTTAGCCACTTAAGTCCTACATTAACTAATGTTCACCAAGCCTCTATGGGTATATAATATAATTGTTGGAGAGTTTGAGTTATTTATTTTCTTTCATTAAGGGTACTATTGTACTTTCCTATTATCAATATATATGAATAGGTGAGAGATGCGGGAAACTCTATGGCTCTAAAACCTTTACAGATTTTCTCTTTCTCCTTTCTTCCTCTTCTTCCTTTTTTTCTTACAATCATACGATCCTTCCACTCTAACTTGGTATCAGAGCCTCTAATTCAACCAGAATTCATTCACACAGTGTACAGAGCATCAGGAGTGAGAGAACAGAGTTGACATCAGTTTTTTCACACTGACGCCATGCTGACATCAGTCTGACGCCATGCTGATGTCAGCATCTGGAGGCTGGAAATTTTCGGAAATCATATGGTCTTGATCGTCTCGCTTTTCTGGTAATTATGGTGATTTTTTCAGAAGTTTTTGAAGCCATTTGATTGGCCTTTTCATTTTTCGAATCTTTTCCTGTCTTGTGGCCAAAAAAATTTCGATCTGGATTTTGGGGCACTTTTGGTTGTTTTTTTTTATTGGAATTCACACTATATGGTGCGTCTACCCTAGAAACAAGGCTGATTGCTGTTTGTTGAACTGTTTGTTGCATTTGGATTATATTTTTTTGGCTCAAAGGGGGGTCAGCCAGTCAGGTTTCTTGGTATTCTTCAGCCTATGAAATTGGTTCTGCCGTTCTCTTGCTTTGGAAATATTTTCTGGATGTTTGGGCCTTCAAGTGCTGCATTTTAAATACAATTTGTTCCTCTGAATATTGTACTACAAGTTTCTTATTTGTGTTTCAGCCTCAAAGTCCTGAAAACAGAATTATATTCTGTTTCTTTTTGCTGTTTTTTGGTTCTGGTTTGAATCCTTATCATGGCTGAAAACAAACCAGTATCCTTCAAGGATGATGATATGCCTAGTCAATCACCTCGCAAAAATTGAATGGAGTTAATTATCTTTCTTGGGCTCACGCTGTTCAAGTTTTTTTGCATGGGCGAAGGAAATTCAAGACTGAAAATCCTCCCTCTGACGAGAAGAACATTGAAGATTGGACCCAAGGAAACTCGCAATGCCCTCATTGTAGTCGGACCAACCTAGCTCTGATACCAAGTAGAAATATAAAAAGAAGAAGGAGAGAATTGTGTAAAGGCTTGAATGATATGAATTACTCATTCACAGCTCTAGTATTTATAAATAAAATGAGCACATGCTCATATTACGAGAAAGGAAACTAAATTGTGCTATTATGGTAAGTCATACCATAAATCGTGGTATCATATATGCTAACAGTGTTGTTATGGGATGGCTATGGCACAGTATGGAACCCGATGTTGCTAGTACAGTTGCATTTTGTGATTCCTCTAAGAAGATTTGGGACTCTATTGCATGCAGAATCTTTTTCTCACCAAAGTAATGTTTCTCGTGTTTTTGAGTTGTACGAGAAAATTTTTGCTACTAAGCAGTCCGGAAAACCATTGTTAGAATACTATAGTACCTCGAAAAATTTGTGGGATCAGTTGCTGCAACATCGACCATTTACTACTGATTTAGAGCAGCAAAATTGGCATTGGGAGGAGTTTATGATTGCTTCTTTGCTATTTGGTTTAGACATAGATCTTCGTGGCTTCAAAGATTAGATACTTGCTAGCGAGAAGTTGACTACAGCTGCTAATGCTTCTTATTGTTTATTGAGATCATCTTAGGATAAAGTTCCACTGTAAGTCCTGCAGAGTCCTCTGCATCAGACTCTAGCTTTGGAGGCCGTGCTAGTACTCGTGGTGGTTCTCATGGTAGCCATAGTGGTCACTGGTCGTGGTTCTTATGGTGGTTACCATAGTGGTGGCCGTTCTAGTGGACGTGGTGATAGGAAGTGTGATCATTGTGGTGGTACAAATCACACCAAGCCTTATTGTTGGGTGAAATATGGCAAACCAAAGCATGCAAACCAGGTTATAGATGGTAACATACAGCCACTACAGCCTCATACTACATCTGGACATGTGGCTCCTGATTCTGGCTCCCATGATACACTCACTACTCAGCTTAGTAAGCTCCTTCAGACATTGCAATCTACTATCCCATCCACATCAATTGCTACTTTAGCAAACTCAGGTAATATTGCATGTGTGGCCCAATCTTCTCCGTCCTGGGTCATTGACTCTGGATATAGTTCCCATAGGTCTGGCAAATCATCTCTCTTTTTTGATTTCGAATCTTTTAAACATCGTATTGTTTTAGCTGATGATTCTTCTCGTCCTGTATGTGGGAAAGCTGTCCTTCACCCTACCAAGTCGTTGTCATTGTCTTCCAGTCTTTATGTTCCTAATTTTCCTTTTAATCTGATTTCTATAAGTCAAATGAGTAAGACATTGCAATGTTCTAGAACCTTTTCTCCCAATTCATGTGTTTTAATGGACCTCAGGACAAAGAAGATGATTGGTTCGGGTCATGAGAAGGATGGTCTATATTCTATGGATTCTGAACCTCCTTCTGCCTTGTCATCAGCTTTGAGTGCTACAGTTTCGCCTCTTCAATGGCATTTTCGTTTAGGTCACCCATCTTTGGCAAAGTTATGATTAGCTATTCCTACATTGAGTCCTATGTCTATCTTAGACTGTGAAGCTTGTTAGTTGGGCAAGCATTACCGTAGTTCTTTTCCGAGCAGTAGTCATAGTCATCAGATTGAGTCTTTTAATGTAGTCCATACGGACATTTGGGGACCTTCTCGAACCGCTAGTTTGAATGGATTTCGTTATTTTGTTATATTTGTTAATGACTATTCTCGCATGACATGGTTATTTTTTATGAAAGTAAGAACTGAGTTACCTCATATTATTGTTAAATTCTATAATGATTTACCCAGTTTGGTAAACGCATTAAAGTTATTCGATCTGATAATGCCTTCGAGTATATACAATCTACCATGAATTCATTTTGTGTTGACTGGGGGTATCATACATCAGACTAATTGTGCTCACACTTCTCAACAAAATGGTGTTGCTGAACGAAAACACCGCCATCTGTTGGATGTTACTCGTACCTTGTTATTCAATATAAAGGTGCCAAAACAATTTTCGGCTGATGCAGTTCTTACTGCTTGTTATCTTATTAACCATATGCCCCCTGTTGTTATGTATAATCAGTCTCCCTTTTCTCTTTTATATCCTGATCTCTCTCCTTTCCACCTCACTCCTCGTGCCTTTGGTTGTGTAGCCTTTGTTCATATCTTTGATCCTGGTTATGACAAACTATCTCCTCGTGCTAGTAAGTGCGTTTTTCTTGGGTACTCCTATACTCAGAAGATGTATCGTTGCTACTGTCCCGAATGTCGTCAATACTTTGTGAGGGCTGATGCTACTTTTTTTGAGTCGTCTGCTTTCTTTTCATCGTCGGGTCATAATTTGTCTTCTGATCTTATATCCACTCTTTTGACTTTAAGATATAATCAAATCAAGAGTAAGTGATAAAGAAGAAAAAAAAAGAGAAGAATTCGGATAAGAGAGAGAGAGAGAGAGAGAGATGGGGAAAGAGAAAGAATGAAAGAATACTTGCATCCTTCCACCACATTTTATTTATAATAACAAGTTTCAAAAATTACACATCAGCCCCAACATTATATAAATAATTACAAATAAGCCCCTGACAACACTCCCTCTCCCTCTCAAGCTGATGCAAAGATATCTATCATGCCCAGCTTAACTAGCATATTTTGCAAGCATGTCTTGCTCACATCCTTAGTCAAACTGATCATGTGTGTTGACGTATGGAGTACAAATTAGCCCAAGACGAAGCTTTTCCTTGATGAAGTGTCGATCGACTTCATGTGCTTTAATCTGTCACGTTGAACTGGATTGTGGGCAATGCTAATAGCAGCCTTGTTGTCACAATACAACTTCATTGACTCACGAACAGGATAACCCAACTCACCCAACATCGTACGTAACCATAGCAACTCACAAACTTCATGTGCCATGAATCTGAACTCAGCCTCTACACTAGATCTAGCTACTATAGACTGTTTCTTGCTTCGCCATGAAACAAGATTACCTCCAACAAACGTGCAATATCCTGAAGTAGATTGTCGATCTGTCATCTGCCCAATCAGCATCAGTATAGGCTTCAACACACAAGTGGCCATGACTGTCAAACAATATCCCCTTACCAGGTCAACTCTCGAGGTAGCGAAAAACATAATGAGCTGCCTCAAGGTGAGGTGTACGTGGAGCATGCATAAACTGACTAATCACATTAATAGCGTAAGCAATATCCGAGCGTGTAAGAGATAAGTAAATCAGTCTCCCAACCAATCGTTGAAATCTTCCCACATCATCTAATGGGTCTCCATCTATATCATTAAACATATGGTTCTGCTCAATGGGAATATCAATAGGTCTAGCTCCAAGCCTGCCTGTTTCAGACAACAAATCTAACACATACTTCCGTTGAGAAATGAACACCGCTTTCTTCGATCTGCACACCTTGATGCCAAGAAAGTATCTCAATGATCCGAGGTCTTAATCTCGAACTCTATCCCCAAGAATGACATCATTTGACGAATCTCTTCTGTATCATTTCCAATGATAACAATATCATCAACATATACAATAAAGGCAGTGGTGCAGCCCTGGTGCTTCTTAATGAAGAGAGTATAATCTGCCTGACTCTGTGTGTACCCTACTCTTTTCACAACAGTGCTGAACCTCTCAAACTAAGCATGTGGCGACTGCTTTAACCCATACAAGGCTTTATTTAGCTTGCACATTAAATTCTGACCATTGGCAAGCTTAAACTCTGGTGGCATAGTCATATACACCTCTTCCTCCAAGTCACCATGAAGGAAAGCATTGTTTACATCTAGCTGATGCTAGCTTGCAAACCAGAATATACTCCAATTGAGCAAAACCACAAGTTGGGGGAATATCCTAATCAAGTTCCCACAAATAAGGAATGGTACCAAAGGCTACTTGGGAAACTAATCTACTTATCTCATACATGCCCAGACATTGCCTATGGGGTTAGCGTGGTGAGTCAGTTTATGCATGGACTTAGTAAAGCTCACATGGATGTTGTATATTGAATTCTCATGTATCTTGTTGTTTATCATGAGAGACAGAGAGGAGGAGAAAAAGGACTTGTTCTATATCACTTACACACACATAGAAACCTAATAAGCCTAAATAGGCTTATATAAGGGATACAAGTTACCTTAATAACACAAGGGCCCTACTAACATAATGTAATTACATAATGGCCCAACATATATATATATATATAACATTCAAACACTCCCCCTCAAGCTGGAGAATATATATCAAATAATCCCAGCTTGGAACAGATAGTTCTTAATCGGTTATGACCCAATGCTTTGGTAAACATATCAGCTAATTGATCTTCAGACTTCACGAATGGAGTAGAGATGCTCCCACGCAATATCTTTTCTCAAATGAAGTGACAATCAACTTCAATATGTTTAGTCCTCTCATGAAACACAGGATTTGAGGCAATGTGAATTGCTGCTTGATTATCACAGAACAATGGAGTAGGAGCTTCAACTGTCAACCCAAGTTCTTTTAGAAAATGTTGTATCCAGGTCAACTCACTAGTAGTATGGGCCATTGCCCTATACTCAGCTTCAGCACTAGATCGAGCTACCACCGTTTGCTTTTTACTTCGCCAGGTAACAAGATTTCCTCCTACAAATGTAGAGATTTGCCATCTAATACAGATGACGGCATACGGTTAATTAGATGACAAGCAGTAAGAACAGCATCACCCCAAAACCGTTTAGGCAAGCGTATATGAAACAAAAGAGCACGGGTTACTTCTAAGAGATATCGATTCTTACGTTCCGCAACTCCATTTTGTTGAGGAGTATAAACAAATGAATTTTGATGAAGAATTCCTTTATCACTAAGATATGTATCAAAGGGTGTTGAAGAATATTCCTTAGCATTATCAGAACGTAAAATACGAATTGGACAGCCAAACTGAGTTTTGATTTCTTTTCGAAATTTTTGAAAAATTAAAAGTAACTCAGAACGATCTTTCATCATAAACAACCAAGTCAGGCGAGAATAATCATCCACAAATGTCACAAAATAATGAAATTTATTGATTGAAGAATGTTTTATTGGACCCCATACATCTAAATGAACCAAGTGAAAAGGACTAGAGACACGATTATTAACCCTAGACTTGAAAGACACGTGATGGTGCTTACTAAGTTGACAAACTTCACATGACAAGAATTTCAAATTACTAAGACTAGGAACTTGACGCTGCAAAACTTGAAGTGACGGGTGACCAAGACGACAGTGCCACTGGAATGGAGACAGAGAAGACTGAAGAGCCACAAGATAAGGTGCCACATCAAAGTAACATAAGCCACCAGCTTCATATCCCGTACCAATCATCTTCTTCGTCTTGAGATCCTGAAACACACAAAAAGTAGGATAAATGTAACAGAGCACTGAAGAGATTTAGTAAGCTTACTGACAGACATTAAATTAAAGGGAAACTGAGGAACATATAAAACAGACGAGAGAAACAAGGAATCACTAAGTTGAGTTGTCCCCAAACCTGAAACCTTAGCGGAGGAACCGTTAACAAGGGTAACTCTTTGAGAAGGAGGTACAGAAGTAAAATCAGATAGAAGAGAAGAACATCCAGTCATATGATCGGATGCTCCAGTGTCTATAATCCAAGGACTACGAGTAGAAGACAATAGACATGTGTGTGCAGTACCTGACTGGGCAAAAGTAGCTGTGGAAGATGAATTGATGCTTGCTTATAAGACAAAAACTGGGTATACTCGTCACGTGGGACAAGGACCGTATCTGATTCAGCTACATTATGAGATCCAGAAGCAACATCATTCGGAGAGGAGGAAACTTGATTTGCATAACTATGTGGTTTGCCATGAAGGTCCCAACAAAAATTCACAGTATGATTAGAAAGGCCACAATGAGTACATTTTCGTAATTCCCTGCCACGGCCACGTCCTCCCCGTGAATCACGATCGCCACGTGTGGAGCGTCCCCCACGACTGCCACGGAAAGCAGTATTTTCACCCTTTGAAACGATTAATGCTAAACGCTCACCACTCTGCCTAGTATTCAAAGTTGAAGTATCACTGACAAGTGTAGCGTGCTGAAGTCTAAAAAATACTTCAGTAAGAGATGGAAGTGTGGGACTGCCCAAAATCTGTGAACGAAAAGACTCATAAGCTGATGACAAACCTGTAAGAAAACGGACAACATTAAAGTCATCACGTTGTTGTTGCATACTTCGAACATCAGCAGTAATGGGCTGATACATATTCAGCTCCTCACAAACTCCCATAACTGTGGAATAATACTCTTCTATACTGTGATTACCTTGTTCAAGATTGAAATACTGCTTACAGAGCTCATAAACACGAGTGATATTACCTGTTCCGGAATACAGTTGCTGCAATCTGTCCCATATCTCCTTGGCAGTATCTAAATAAAGTAAAGTTGTACTGATTTGGGGTTCAATACTATTTATCATCACAGAGATGATCTGAGCATCTTCCTTTTCCCATGCATAAAAAAAAGCATCAGTTTCCTTGAGTTTCTCTTTAGTCAAATGAGTACCGAGACCTCTACCGTTGAGAAAAATTTTAACAAATTTAGCCCACAGTATGTAATTCTTCCCATTGAGTTTAACAGAAGTCATGGGATAATGAAGACCAGAGGTGGGAGAAAACAAATCTGAACTGGATGCCATGTTATACTCAGCAAAATAGAGAAGAAAAAAAAAACACAGAATCGGTATTCAGATCCGAACCTGGCAAATGGGCCGGATCTGGGCAAACGGGGCGGATCTGGTCAAATGGGCCGGATCTGGACAAACGGGTCGGATCTGATCAAACGGGCTGGATCTAGGCTATCTAAGATTGGAATAGCATAACAGTGTAGCCAAACAAGGGTCTTCTTCTTCACACCTTCACAAACGCCGGTGAACAAAGCAGCGGAGACAATGGCAACTCAGGCACAAGCAACGGCCGAATCAAGAGACAGCAACCTCTGCAACTTCCAGCCAAAACAAAAAATTCGACGAATCTCTCCTCTGTAAATCAAGACGGCAGATCTAATGACGACAGATCTGATGACAACCTCGCTGATAACCAAAACAAGAAGCTATCGGCAACGACGATGACGAACGATGCAGATCTAACGACGACAAATGACGATGCAGATCCGATGACAGTGAACAAGGAGCTGCCCGCGATGAACGAAACACCAACACCACAATCGTGATTCTGATCGTGATTCCGATCTTAAACCACACAATTACAGACCCTCACACTCACGAATTCATAGCGCTCTGATACCATGTTGTTTATCATGAGAGACAGAGAGAAGGAGAAAAAGGACTTTTTCTATATCACTTACACAGACATACAAACCTAATAAGCCTATATAGGCTTATATAAGGGATACAAGTTACCTTAATAACACAAGGGCCCTACTAACATAATGTAATTACATAATGGCCCAACATATATATATATATAACATTCTAACATATCTAAAATCTGCTGGTAAAGGTCTAATGTTTTCTAAACATGGACATCTAGAGGTCGAGGGTTACACAAATGCTGATTGGGCTGGATCAATAACTGATAGAAGATCAACTTCTAGATACATTACTTTCTTAGGTGGAAACTTTGTAACTTGGCGGAGTAAGAAGCAACATGTGGTAGCTAGATCAAGTGCAGAAGCAGAATTCAGAGCTATTGCCCATGGGGCACAAGAACTGTTATAGATGAAGATCTTGATAGGTGAATCGGGTTTCTATCCCTTGAAACCTATGAGTCTTTATTGTGATAACAAGGTTGCCATTAGCATTGCACATAACCCAGTTTAACATGATCGTACCAAGCATGTTGAGGTAGATAGACACTATATCAAAGAGAAACTAACAGGTGGAATAATTAGCTTGCCTTTCGTAAAGACCGAGGACCAGCTAGCAGATTTTGACAAAGGCAGTATAAAGTAGAAGTTTCAATACTTCAATCGACAAGTTGGGCATGCAAGACATCTATGCACCAACTTGAGGGGGAGTGTTAACGTGATTGATTAGGATTTATCTTTCATCTATTAGCATAATTAGCATAGTTGATTAGAGCTGACTTTGTAAACTTAATACTTACCTTATATTTAATATGTGTATAGTACATATACCTCCTTATGAGAAGAATAGAAGTATCGTAAGATTTTTCTCCCCATTTTTCTCTAGTTTTGACATTTATAAACTAAGAATATAATTAACAAACTTCAAGATGAAACATGACTGAAACAAAGAATGTACACCTAAAGACCATGTCAACCACTTGTGGTTCTCAAATCAAAAGCCTTTCCTTAGGGAAAAAACCAAAAGCCTTTGAAGATATACGTGTGCTTAATTGCATCATAATGACAACTGAAATGATATCCTCTGGTCCACATTGAATAGCTATTCTCTTGGCTCTTTAAGATGTCCAGGGCCTACTTGTACATTCTTTCCCAATTTCTTTTTTCAGTTGGGAGAAAATTGTATTCTCAACTACAAAGACCACCAGACATTGAAAGGCATCTACTATTTGAAGGCTTGATGATCATGAAGAATTTATAAACAGCGATGATGACATCAATCTTTTCAGCACGTGCTCAATTATTTACATTCACAAGAACATAATAATCTCACCTGACGTATCCACCAATACACATAAGTTGAAATTTTGAACCCCTTTGAAGAATCAAATTTCTCAATCCCCCGGAGTAGTCCAATCAGACCACCCTGCAACAGATATAATTAAATAAATTTATACATGAGATGATTTTCCACAAACTCTGTTCTAGTAAGTGCAAGAGCAAGGTATTGGCATATCTAACATAGGTAAAAGAAAAGAGAATCACCTGGATAAGGTCAGCCATTTCGGCACCCATGTTATCATATCTTTGTGCAATGGACATGACCAGGCGAACATTGCTCATTGCCAGTTTTTCTCTTGCTAAAGAACACTCAATTTGTTTCAACTGCAACTCAGTACGAGAAATCCTCAATGAAGTCGCAAGTTGATCCTCTGATGGTTCGCATCCTAACCTTTCCTTCAGTCTGAAATTTCCATCCAGCAGAATCATACAAACAATTGTGTTTTGTTTTTTATTTTTTTATTTTTATTTTTGATAGAAGCCTTTTAAAAGCATGACTAAATGTGAAAAAAAAGTGATTAGACATAATTCTCCCATTGCACCCTTCCACCTCTTTTACAAGTGCCAATTTCTTGGAAATTGAAGGGTTTAAGTAAAAACAACTTCTAATTATCCAAGAAAATAAATTACTAAGCATCTTAATTCCACGGCTTCATTTGACAAGTGCAATAATCTCTTTATCACATTATTTCTCCATGCATTGGAAAAATAAATACTGATATGCAGATCATTAGGTACCAAGGAAACACCTTAAAAGAAAGATCAAATCATGGGTAAATTTTCTACCACAACAAAAACAAGACAGAAAGCAAATGTTAATTCTATAAATCTTGACATTAATCAGAAGGATCAAGCTACATGGAAAAAGTGTTAAAGAAGATGGTTTCAAAGTTTGTTAGACTGCAATCCTAGGCTCTTGTAGAGAGTTGCGCAAGGTCAGTAATCTAGACCTAGAGGGGGGGCAGGGGTGTGAGCAGGTCTTGTAGGTTGGCTTAACTGATTTCAACAGCTTTTTGAATTTAACTAAAATTACAAAACTTTAAATTCAAATTATGACTAAAAATTAAAATTCACTCAATCCATTATATCAAGCAAACATGCAATAATCAAATAAAGCAGTAAAGAATGGACACAAATTTTTAAGAGGAAAATCCAACTGGGAAAAACCACGGGACTTAGTCTAGCCAAATCAAATTAACCATGATAAAAGAAGATTACAACCTAAGAAGCATGAACACTTTTCCTAAGGGTGCTGTGGCGGTATCGAACACTCGAACACATGTGGGAAACCACCCGAACACATGTTGGACACGGCTAGAAGTGTCTTGGAATTTGAATATTTTATTTTGTGGTTGGACATGGTTGAGAAATGTTTGGAACACTTTCAAGACACAACAAAGTGGCTTTGCAATTATTTTTCTTAGAAGAACAGGATACAATACAATTTAAAATATAGTATGGGTTGATTAGAAAGATAATATAAAATTTTTGAAAACAAAAACAACAAACATCTAACTCTAAGCTCCAAATTAGTGATTTCATTTACGATTATATGGATAAATTGAGCAAAAAATATTATTTCTATATATAATATATATTGAAGATTTAATGGAGGAATCAATGGAGGAAAATCTTTCAGTAATTGATGTTGTTTCCTATTATTGAAGATTTGGTGTTACTAGAGGAATCAATGGAGAAAAATCTTCCTTGTTTCCTATTTTCTAATTCTTTCCATTCTCATAATTTCTTCTCCTATATAAAGGAGCCTCCACCATTGTATTGTATATCAATTGAGAGAGTATTATAATAGTGATGTAGCCTTTTGCGCTCTTTGTGCCGTGGATGTAGGCCCTAGTGGCTTAACCACGTTTTATTTATCTCTTCACTTCCGTTTTATGCTTCACAACAATATATTATATTATTATTTTTTGATGTATCCCTCTCATACCAGTGTCCTATTTATTAAGATTTGTCATACCATTATGTTTGTATTATGTCGTACTGTCTCCTATGTCCATATCCGTGCTTCCTAAAACCCAAGAACCCCTAGGTACCTCTTTGATACAGATCGATCCACCAAACTCTTCACTCGAGTCTTAAGGCACACGATACGCTCGTCACCAGATTTCACACACTGTACGAATTTGCTTCTCCAGCCTGTGATTTAATTTCAAGCCAACTAATCGTCCAAGCCAATCTCTAACGGATTGAATAGAGTGGTTGGTTTTGAACTTAACAGTACCGTAACGATGATGTCAAGACACTAGGAATGCACTCACCAATTCTAATGCAAGAATGATGAATGTAAAAAAAATTAGATGTACTCTAAAACTAAAAAATATACATTCTCTATATGTTTTGTCTATATATATAATCTATCCTAGAGTAGTGTATATAGAGACAAATTAGAAGTGTAAGAGAATAGAATTTTCAATGTTGGATTCCCGAATACATCAATCGATCGAAGAACGGGTCGATTGATTGAATCAAATCTAGAGAGCTTCAATATAGAGCTCAAATGATCAATCCACTTTGCAGATTTTATACTTAAAATTTTCAATTTGAGAAATTTCCAAAACACTTACTTGCATATCAAAAGGGAGACAATAATTTGCTTTAGGATAAATGGTTTATGGTGAAAGTGTAATGTTAAGCTAAAAATGAATATTTACCATAATTTACCACAAATGAAAGTATAAAGTAGCAACAAAATGATTTACTGAATCAAAATGTTTCATTCAATAAAAATAAAAGAAAAAGAACATTCAGTTACCTTGATTTTTGCTCCTCAAAGCACAGCCCAGTTTTAATTATTTTTGACAGTTGCACAACTTCTGCTTGGGTGAGTAACTTTTCACTTATTACACCCTTCACATAACCTTTCAAACGATCCTGAAGATGCTCTGAACTGATAATGGATCTCAGATGCTTACTTGTACTAAACTGCATTGCAGTACTGTTTTGGCTCAGAATTTTCCCCCTAGTGTCCATTCTCCGTCGCCTTGCAGATACCCCTGAACAAGTGACCTGCATCTTCTTGCGAATTTTTTCTCTTGGTTTATTGGTAATTACTGTCTTAGTTGAAAGATTCCATTGCTTTTCCAGTATAGACTTCTGCAATAAGAGGAGAGCCTCCACTGAAAAATCTGGATCAGAGCTTTCCTCCTCCATGTGGTTGGATCTCTGAAGCCATGCCTCTACAGTCGAAGGATCAGAAGCAGTATCCACATTCTCTTTAAGAGCCTTGATGGACTGTGTGCGTCGATTGGAAAGAAAACTGGGGCTACAATCAGATGACTTCTTTGCACTGATCAAATTCTTCGTTGAAGCATATTGATGGTGTGCCGATACATGATCGTTGTTTCCACAGGACAGCCTTTCTGTGAGATCAGAATAATAGAAGGAGGAACTCAAGAGCCTCTTCCCTGCACTAAGTCCGATAACTGCAGCAGTAGCCATCATATGGTTTTGTCCTGCTAATATGCAATATCATCACACGAAGCTAAAAATGTTGCCGAACCACAACCATGTCATAATTGTTCAGCTACAGTTGATTCTTGAAACCACAAAGTTGCTGTATAGGCCTCTAAGATCACTCCCTGATCACTTTGTTAGGATCCTGGTAAGGAAAAATACAAATCAGTGCACTCTTGGAGTCCAGACTATCTTTTTTTTTTTTTTTCCTTATACGAACTTATTCAGAAATTCTCTTTAAACTGATATACATAAATATCACAATTCAAGCAGATTCGACAAAAGGAGCTTTATATCAGTAGAAGAACATTCTAGGCAATCAATACACCCTACAAGAATATAGTAGCCAAAAAATGGGGTAAACATGAAAGAAGTTGGCAAGTAAAACTCAAGCAGGGAACAACTATATATACTTGAATATTTTTCTTTGAACAATAAATGGTCGGTGAGAACGGAAATGAAAAGAAATACACCAAAAAAGAGAATCAAGTGAAAGAACAGCCACCGTGGTATTTTATCTTGGTATATGATGGAATCATTTTGTATTACAAAGAACTTTAATCAACAGGGTGCGTATAGACCAAATTAAAGATATTTCCATGAACTGATCAACTTTTCCCCAAAATCATATGGCTGTAAGTTGAAAATATGATGTTAAGCCACAAATTAAGGGAGTGATGCATACTGCCTAAAACAATATATTTCTTGGAAAATGTAATTAGCCTCCAATGTTAGTAATACCATTATATCTTTGGGAAAGGCCAATTTGTTTCTTCTTTGGGTTGTATGATCATGATTGCACAGTACTACTCCTCCTTTAATATATATATATATATGGAACAGTGGTGTGTGGTGCATATATAAACTAGCTGTAAGAATCAGAATGAATAGCAACAAGAAAAACAATTTATAGAGATATTATGTATCAAAAGAATTTACATTTATCATACACACAAACACACATAGTTTGATATATTATGCTTAAATTTATTATTGAATTGTGAAACTTCAAAAATCAAAATTGAAGAGCAACGTCAAATTTCACTTTTTTTAATCAGATTTCAAATTGGGTCGCAGAGTAGAAGGTAATTCTACCTCTATTTTACAAAAACCAATCCAACCCAACAAACATAATAATCTGTATTAGACAGGTATACTAGCAAATGGGTTAGGAAAAGAAGCAGTGATATAGGGAAGAAAATCTTTATGCAACCCAACCCAACCCAAATGACGTACCTGAACGAAGAAAATACAGAGGCAAAGAATTAGCAGTTGAACAAACAAGAGAGAGAGAGAGAGAGAGAGAGAGCGCGATAATAATTAAGTGAATGTGAGCAAATGGTAGAGGGACTGTTGCAACTGAATGAACTTTTCTGTTTTTGTTTGTTTGTGTTTTGATTTCTGATATTATAAAATAAATATTCTTTTATTAGTTATTAGAAAAAGAAAATTGGGGAAAATAAAAGGTGGGGTTAATAGATAGATATCAGACGGAGAAAGACGATTGGCTGGAACAGATATTTGGTGCAGCTTCGAGTGGTGGACGGCCTCACAAGTGGAGTGCCCATTTCAACGCACAACTATATACTGTATAATATATTGCTTCGTTTTTTTTTTCCTTTTTTTTTTTTTTGTCGTTATTTCTGTTCAAATTCAACTTTTTAAATTAATTTATATATACAGCAATCTATATCTATGCTATATACTGCCATATAAGTAATTGTCAATATATATATATTTTTTTTCTAATTTTTATTTTGTGACTCGTCTAAAAATCAAAGGAATTGTTTTTTTTTATATTAAATTTTATATTTTTATTGATTAATGTTTTCTCAATAAGTTTTTTTCCTTTTATATAAATTTTTATTATTTTTAAAATACCTGACTCGTTCGAAAAGTTATTTAGTTCTCAAAAGTTTACATCTTTTCTCTATACAAAGTTTTTTTTTTTTTCCGTGTTTAGTTAATTCCAAAAAAACATAACTTATTCCACAAAAATGGTCCGTACAAAGCCAAATCAAATAACAATTCTAACAACAATTAGAAGAAGATGAATCACAAACCACAATCAAACGCGTTTGTAGCCCAGCGATTAAATTGCTTCCATTTACTAACGGGCCAGTGACTTACCAGTATCAGTTTTTTACTTTTCAAAGAGAGATCAAGGGTTCAAGTCTCAAAAGAGACGTGTGTGTGTGAGTACTAATTAGGAAAAAAAAAATTGTTCCCATTTGTTCTTGGGAGTTCAATTTCGAATTTTTGCACTTTTAACTTCTAATCTAACATTCTTGTCCTGAAAAAAAAAAAGAAATAAAATAAAATAAAATCACAAACCACAACACAATATATACGTGGTTCACCTTAAATTAAGACTACATATACTAATGAGGAAATCTTACTATAGTAATGAAGAGATATTACAATAGTAGAGAATTACTAATACCAGAACATGTACACAACCTCTCGCTCCCAAGGCATAAGTAAAAATACCCAAGCTTTACATTATGTACCATTCCACAAGACAACCTCTCGTCTTTAGTGCTCACTTTACCAAACCATAATACCCTCTAATCATCTCAAACATGCTCAACTCCTCATGAGGTGGCTCTTCATGGGCTACACATCTCTCTACTCATACATCTTAACAATACTCTAGGTATCTATTTATAAGAAATTCCCATATAAATTAACTCTAAAATAGGAACCTAATTGAAACAGGAATATGAGCCACAATTCCTAACAATTTCCATATTGGCTCAAATTTCGTCACCGTCAATCATCGCTTCCCACGACAACTAAATTAGACAATTCATGTGACTTCAATCTTGCACACCTCTAATCATCCTTCATCGCTCCACCTTAATACAAACTCTATACCATGTAACCCATCACGATTTCATCTTGTTCCTTTTTGCGACTTAAGAGCAAACCTTTTACCTTCTCTTTTGTTGGAGCACATTTCCTTTTCCAAGCTAAGAGAGGACTTGTAGGCTAAAAGAGATCACACTCTTTTTGGGGTTAAAAGCGAACCCTGATGACCAGCGTGATTGACAAACTGACCGATTGACTTCACCTAAAACTGAATCCTGTTGCAACACTTGTTGAGACTTCTTATATTTTTTGAACATCCCAGCCGAACCCTCGGCTCTGATACCACTTATTGGGTATGCAGTGGAATCAAATAACAATGATAACAACAAGAAGGAGTGTTAACCATTAATTAACTCTAAAGGGGGTGAATAAAGTCAATGACTAATTTTTGCAATTTTAAAGAAAATATTTCTAAGTAACTATCATGCAATAATCAATTGAGATAGTTAAGCAATATATAGCACAAGTATAAAAAAGATAAAGATAAGAAATTGCAAACAATGACTCGGTGATTTAGTGAGGTTCGGAAACTCCTACTCCTCGGCTCAAGATCCCCCTTGAAACTTTCCAAATTCACTAGAGCTTCTCCTTAATGGTGGAGAGCAAACCTTTAAATGAAGCAAGACCTTGCTTCTCTTCCTTGCTAGGAGAATACCCTTCTCCTAGGCTTCTTTTGTGTCACACCAACCCTTACAAATTTGAAGTAATATAAGTGAAATACAAGATTGTTTATCTCTCAAAGAAAAGATGTACAATTTCAGCTCATAACTAGAGTAGATAAGAATATAAATGAAGCTCAAGCTTTAAGATGATGTGAGAGAATGTAATGATATAAATGAATGCTTAAGGGAAAATATTTATGGCTCTTGAATGCTCTTTCAAGTGGTGTAAATATTCAGCAGACTAACCATCTATATATAGAGATATGGAGCTCAATATAGCTATTAGAGGTGGTTGGAGTTCATTAAATGCAAAAATTCCCATTGGAATTCAAATGCCCTAGAAAGAGCAGGCTTTATGTTGAAGTGAAGGCAACTCCACTCCTAGTGGAAGCGGCTCTATTCCTAGTAGAGGCGGCTCCCAAAAATGGGAGTCTGCTCTACTCCTGGAAAAATGATTCTTGAGCTAAAATTAGCTACTGGACAGAAAAGAGCATGCTCTACTTTGAATGGAGGCAGTTCCATTGATGTACATGACTAAAAATGAATTTAATTAAGTCATGTGCACTTCCTATCATGTGTAGCTAGGGTAAGAATGTATATATGAAGTTCATGAGCAAACTTTAAGCATTTGAAAATTGAATTAGACTGAATATGAATGATCCTATAATTTTGAGCTTCAAAATATATTCAAATATACTTTGACATTAAATCTTAAGCTCTCACAATCCTATCTACCATTTTCTTCATTGTTTGACCATGATTGTTTAGGCTTGATGAAGACTTCCTTTTTTTCTTTGAAATGCTTGAACGATTTTTGAAGTTCGAGTTTCCTTTGATTGGATATGCCTTTGATTTCTTGCAACTTTTAAGGCTTCCTTGAATCCATTGCTTGGAATGCTCGGAATAGACTTTAGCTCATCACTTTGTATCCATTGCTTGGAATGCTTGGAATGGACCGTATAGCTCATCATTGAGGTTTGAATACTGGTTATCTATACATCACTCAATAAAAATATTAGTACTTAAACATCATTAATGGTTTGTAATCATCAAACATTAGATTGACCTTTAGATAAAATTCTTAAGGCCAACAATCTCCCCATTTTTTATGATGACAAAACATTAATGTGTTTATTGTTAAGTGAAGTAGCATTTGAAAGAATGCTCCCCCTATCGATATGCATATCTTGAATATTATAACATGCTTGATTTTACAACAAATATTTTAGACATTTAAGTGCATTTAGACTTCATGACATTTTTATAAGTTTCCCCCTATCAAAATGAGTCTATCAAAATATATATATTTGAAGAACAATATATGCATAAGCATAATGAATCACACATCATACACACTCATATTTCTTCCCCTTTGTCATCTCAAAAGGGCGGGAGAACAAAGTATTTGCTTGCCATTTCGTGAAATAATAGAGCATGTAAATAAGAGAAATGACAGATAAGGAAAATTAAGAGATTTTAAAAGCAAAATTTTCATTTTATAGATGGCATATTTCAATACATCAGGAGAATGTTGACAACAAATGTCATTTGTTAGACAAAAACATAGTTCAAAATAAGTACTTCAAAAGGAAATAACATAAAAAAAAAAAAAAAAAAAAAAAGGATGCTTCTCTAAAGCATATAAAGGAAATGAGTACATAAAGCAGTTGGGGGAGCTACTGTTCTAAAGAGGAAGAGGGCCATATGCGCGTCGGATTTCTCAAAGATTATCATGAATATCTCCAATTGCAGTGATAACATCATCAATTTGTTCTTGTTGACTTGCAAGAGTGGCTTGATTTTGACGAGAAACATCAAGAATTTCCAATAAGAGATTACAATTGGAACTTTCTTTAAGCCCGACATCCGTTTGCTCATCATTGTCAGTGCCATCGTCACTTTCATTTTCTTCTTCCTCATCAACAACATCATCAATCTCTTCTACATTAGCCCTAGCCTCTTCCATACTTCTTTGCCTAGGATAATACCACACAATATTTAAATACCTTTTTAGCCCCATCATCTCAAGATTTGTCGTGTCGAGTATATCTCTTGGGCCTTGTTCGGCTAATTCGCCATCGTCAAGTGGAATGTTCTTATCCATAAAAATGTGAGTGAGAACCATGGTATAGTAAAGAGGAACCTTTTTCTTTTTCTTGCATGTATACAAGTGATGAAAGATGATGTATGCCAAATCAAAGACACCATTCAAGACACACCAAATCAAAAAAGATTTCCATGTGAGAGACTTTGGAGTGACTACCGGGTTTCGGAAGAATGGAGTATGTGATGATTTTGTGGATCAGGCGAGCTTCCATAGTTAATTGTTTGGCTTTGACCTCTTTTGTGTTGGTAGTGCGAGAATCATAGCTCATTTGTTGAATTACTGCTAGTTTGTCAAAACCTTCCCCATTATACCATTTTTGGGTTGAGTAGAATTGAATTCTTCCCATAAGATGAAGAATTCGAGCAATGCTAGTAACATTAAGGTAGAATTCTACTCCAACCACATAGCACTGTAATTTCTCTACACTGGGCATTTTTTCAAGGTGTGTGTAAAACAGTTTCACGAGTTTGGAATAATACTTGTCGTCCATCCCAACAAATGCACCAAGTCCAATAACGTCAAAGAGTTTATAGGTGTTGATGTTGAGGTCATCACAAATTGTGTGTGACAGGACTTTACCTTTCGCCACTTTCCTATGAAGAAAATTTTTCTCATACAACCTCTTATATGTAGGATTTCTATACAATATAGTTATAAAGATTTGAATTGGTCATGGAGGTGGATTTGGTTCACTAGGGCCGGATTCATAATCTTGAGTATGGTGTGCACGAGAACGAGAAGGGTTTCT